GTTATCTAAGTTACTTGCAGTCAAGGAATAATTTTTCATAATAACAGAAAAAGAAACTTTTAGAAAGGGCATATAGGGTTTCTTTCTACTTCTTCAAGAAGAAAAAATACCTAAGGTATTATTATAAGAAACCAACTCCTACAAATAAACTGACACTGACATTGTTTATTAATACTTTCAGAATGACAAAAAGTGACTTCATGCAGGAAATTAATATGCTTATGGGCTTAATGGACCATTACTGGATATGATCAGTTGGCCTAATAAAATGAAGTTCACTTGATTTTATTGCCCTATTCCTATTTACATCTTGGAAATCTTAACCCAACTGGACCAGAAAGAATAAATGAACATGAAAGTGTTAACATTATTACTACCATAAAATAAGGATCTTTTTATTATAGTATAATCTTTTTATTACAGTATAATTGTTGTCCTTCATTGGAAAAAAATCTTCAGATTTCTCTTTTAACTCAACAACTGGTGTGGCATTTATTTGGTCATAAGCATTTATTCAGCATCTACTGTGTGTAAAACAAAGCACTATTTTAGATAAGTATGACACAAAGTTTAGACAAAGATCATGTCCTTAAAAAATTTAAATGCACTAGGAAAGTTAAGACACACACATAAATAATTATTAACAATATAAACACAATAGATTCCAGAAGAAAACATAAATTGCTCAGAGATTTCAGGAGAGATACAGTTCTAATGGACGTACATATTTAGCTTCCTGAAACTGGCCTGTGAGTGAAATAGAGCTGCGGGTTGCTTAATGTCACAAATTTTAGTAGGAAGAGATCTTTCTGCATTCCATATATCCCAACATACCTGTTCTCAGATACTTAGAGCACATGTAAATCAGGATCAAATCTCATTCCACAGTTAAATAGAATGCTTAAAATGCTGGTCCTTCTTTGAGGCAGAAATTACAGACTTAGATTGCACACTGAAGTGTAAATAACTGATGTCAGATTTTCCCCTAAGAACAGATTTTCAAAAGAAATGGAAGAAGAAAAGACAGAATGAAAGACTGAAAGAAGCTAGGTATCTGAAGGAAGCAATAAAAACCACAGAGAAAGGAAAAAGCAACACAAAAAACTTCTGAGATTATTTACTGGTTTTCCATTATTCCCTAGAGTAAGCTAGGAAACAACCTGAACCGGTAGATATTAAACAAAGATAGCTTCATAGGCACAGAAATATAAATGTTTTCATATTTATATTTATATTAATAGGAAGAGGAGTGAATATATATATATATTATATTTATATGTAGGCAGACTACAGATAAATGGATATCTCAGATTTAAAGATGAAAATAATGCATACATGTTTGCTCATATTAGAATATCTATTAAGAAACTAATTGCTCAAAAATTCACAATTGACTTGGTGTTTCTGCAGAGAGAACCAGTGTGAGAAGGTCTAGCAACAAGAAGGGCTATCCAAGAAGCTCAGGTGCATTGTGAGCTCCCACTACCTCAATCAAAGGCCTCCTAGAGACCTGGCCAATGCTCAGTTTCCCTCCTTGCAGCAATTGGTTTTATAAATCCAAACTATTCTGGATTTTCTCTTCTTGTTCCTTCCCCTCCCCAGTTATTAGAATGCTTCATCTGCTATGATCTGTTAATGTCACTTGACTCTCAGAGTCATCAAAGTCCTGCAACATGACACCAGAGACATATCGCCTTAATGTTCCTCATTCCATAACAGAACGTTCTTGAATGTTCCTCAGGCACTTTAGATGGTAAAAACTACACTTATTTTATAAATTTAAAAGCCCTTTCCTATAATCTCCATATTTCAATCTAGCCTATCTCCAATCCAGGCTCCCAACTGTCATACCAAAACCCATCCCTCTCCCTAACCCTCAATTGCTTAATTCTGCTAATTCTGCTAGGAAAGGCTTTCCTACCTGTGCCTCTGTTTTATTCCTACTACCCCTGCCTCAATTTAGGGCCTTGCTATCTCTTGCCCAGACAATCAGACCTCACATCTGGTTTCTTCACTCCTCTTCCTAGTTACCTGTCACACTACAACCAGGGTTATTCTTTTTGTGAACAAATATGACCACAGGACCCTTACTTTACAAATTCCTCTGCTGTCTCCAGGCTAGCTGGCCTACAGATGAAGTTCAAGCTTCTTGGGTTGGCACATAAAGTCATTTATGATTAGTCCTCAAATGACCTGTCCAGCTTTAACTCTCATCATTCTTCCATACACACCCTAGGCTACAGTTAGACTGAACTTGTCCCCTTTTCTGGAAATGCCATGCCCCTGTGGATACAGCCTGTGCCTAGATATTCCCTGTGCTGGGAATACTCTTCCCTCTTTACTTTTCCTTTGAAAAACTCTTAGTTATTGTCAACTCTGGGGTCAGTGTCACATCCTCTGTGAAACCTTCAGTTATGGACTAATTATGCTGCATCCCTCCAAAATTCATATATTGAAACCTAAACCCCAGTTTTCAGAACTGTGAGAAATAAATGTTGTTTAAGCCACCCAGTTCATGATATTTTTACCCTCAGCCCAAGCCAACTAAGGCATTTTCCACTATTCTCCCTGAGATTAAATGCACCATCTCTCATGCTTCATCCATAGCTCTGAGAAAACTCTTAAAGCATCAGTGCATCTTGTATTTATCTATCTCTCTGCTGGACTGTGACCTTCTCTCAGGCAGAAACCCTGTGTTAAGAGTTATCTCCTTGGATAACCTAGCATAGCAGTAAATGATCAATATGTGCTACTGAAATTCATCAGTATTTATACAGAAGAAATGTGATTCAATGATGATGAGGAGGGTTCAGTTTAAACATTACTTGCCAGATGAATCCTGAAGATGAATCCTGAGCTTAATCTTTTTAAGGAAGACATTGGGAAGCATATAAATACCTATTGGAAAATTGATTGTTTACATGGGTTGACAAGAGGGACAAAGTGATAAGTCACACAAGAAGGCAAGGTCCCAGCAGCGGATAGTACTCAGGAGGAGATAGACTGTGTATATTATTGTCTATGATTTATTTAAAATGCTCAGTATAGACCACGGCCAGCAAATCTCTCTGAGCCAAGTCTTAGTCTCTATCTGTTTTTATAAAAGTTTTTGTTTTGTTTTGTTTTGGTGCTGGGGATTGAATCCAAAGCCTCATGCATGCTGAACCACACTCTGCCGCTGAACCACACCACAAAGCCTATCTTTGTGATAAGTTTTATCAGGACACAGTTATGCTCATTTATTAAAGTATTATCTATGATTACTTTTGTACTTCCAAGACTTCTAATTAGAATAGAAATGAAATGACCTTCAAGCCAACAGTGTTCAATATATGACCCTTTATGAAAAGCAAAGTGTGCTGACCCTGGAATAGACCACATGGTATAAAAGTGTGTGTTGATTTCAAAACAATCCAGGGGCAGTTTGTGGCCCTAATTGGCATTAATCATCTTGAAGTCAGTGTTTATGGGACTTCAAAATATGTTGCAGGCCTTTCTGTTCTTTTTGGAACAGGGTATAAAAATTAGTGAGACTTATAGTCTGTGCCCGTAAGATTTGTATCCTAGGCTGAATGCCCTTGGGTCCTATTACTGATCTAATGTTCCTTGAGGCCTCAGTTTAAGTAGAAGGTGATGTTAGAATTTTTTTTTTAATGCTAGGGAATGAACCCAGGAGTGTTTAATCACTGAGTCATATCCCCAGCCTTTCTTAATCCTTATTTTGTGTTTTGAGACAGGATCTCCCTTAGTTTCAGAGGCGGGCTTTAACTTGTGACCAAAGTCACTGGAATCAGAAGCAAGCACAGCCACACCCAACTAGTTTACTCTTGTTCATGATGCTCTTTCATTTCAATGAAGTCTTTATAAAAGAATAACACAGGGGCTGGGGTTGTGGCTAAGTGGTAGAGAGCTTGCCTGGCACGTGTGAGGCACTCAGTTCAATCCTCAACACCACATAAAAATAAAACAAGTATATAAAGGATAACACAGTAGTGCATGCTTGTAATCCCAGCAACTTGGTTGGGTGAGACAGGAGGATTGCAGGTTCAGGGCCAGCCTCAATAATTTAGTGAGGCCCTAAGCAACTTAGGAAGACCCTGTCTGAAAATTTTATAAAAGGGGCCTGGGTACTGGGGTACATGTAGCTCTGTGGTAAAATACCCATGAGTTAAATCTCTAGTACCAAAAAAATAATAAAATAAAATAAAATAAAGAGAGAGAGAGAGAGAGAGAGAGAGAGAAATATAACACAGGGACTTCATCAAACTTAAAGAACAGAGATGTCCGTATATGTAGCAGACAACAGTCTAGACTTGCTTTAGTCATAAATTGGTGAAGAAGAGACTGTAGGAGTTGCTTACTAGTTTGCACCTAAAATAACCTACTAACTGCTCATGGTACGATTGGCTTAAATCCGTTTCCAGAAGCTTGCTTTAAGGACAGTCACATTTACCTCAAAATTCATTCAGGAGCTAGTTATTTTCATGCCCTATGACCAGGAAGCCCTGGTCATATATGTGTACCTCCCTTCCATCCCCACTTTGAGCATAGAGCTGGTAGCTCAGTAAGCAAGAATGTGGCATGGAACATGGGAGAGTGACCAGTTGGACATGTGCAAAACTTGAAAGGACACAAAGCAGGGAGTGGAAGCACAGATGAAAGAAGAAGAGTTGTGGCCCTGGTATAAACAAATCTGCAAATAGTGTATTATTAACCTGTTCTATTGCACGTGATTGCTTTGGTAGTGACAGGTGTGATATAAAAATATTGTTTGTAATATTTAGTGGGTAATTACTTATCAAATATGGAATTTTAAAAAATCTCATATTCTTGTTTATAAGCCCTAGAGCTCTTTCAGAACTGGAAATCTTGGGTCAAGAGCAAAGCACATGAAAATATCCATATCCCAGCTGATTCTGACAGCTTAGAGCAAGAAGGTCTTTGATACAAAATAGAATACACCATTTTAAGCTCAAAAAGTAAGCAAAACAGTTACTTACTGACTCAGAAATTTCTTCTGGGGGCTCTGGAGTAGATACACCAAGTTCTTCCCCCAACACTCCAAATTCAGGTTGAGATGATGAGGAGCCAAAAACTTTAGCTAAATAGGAAGGAAAATCCTCACAAATTTTTGTAGACAACTTTTGCTTCAGGGTGTCTTTTAAAAGAAAGGGAGAAAGTAGGAGCAATGAAACATTACTTAAAATCCGTTTAAAGCAATCAGCACTTTCCTTAAAATAAGAAATTCCCCATTCTTTGAAATCGACTGCTAAAGTGAACTGATTTAGTTCATTTTTTTCATTATGTATAAGAGGTTATCTAAAATAACTTTATTTAATTTCATAATACACCCCAGCACAAAGAGGCAAAAGAGGAACTTAAATGCTTACTTGTTTAAAGTGTCAGTTAGCTGTGAATGTAAACCTAACTCTATGTAAAGGGTTAGCTTTGTCCACATTAAGTTATATAGGCACTTAGTCTGGTTTTAGGGAGAGTAAAAAGCCAGCTAATGCAAAAGAAGTATATTCCTCACTGCCTGTAGCAAAGTAAAAACTCCTCCAGATGAGATGATAAAGCTCTTAGGTTATTAAAATAGAATTTTTTTTTCCTGAAACATGAATTACTTCTGGCCATTCTGACACATGAACAGCCTAGTGAGATTGAATGTATAAGACCCACAAGTCACCAAGCAGGGGGTTAAGGTCAGGAAGCTTGGAGAGGGAAGGAATAGAAAACATAAGCTTTCTGAGCGTGGTATGCTACCCTTAGGACTGGTGGTGCTGGCACTAAGGCATGGGTAGGGCATGAGGCATGGGTAGGGCATGAGGCATGGGCAGGGCATGAGGCCTGGACAGTTGGTGCCCGGCCATGTCAGGCCCCACTCCCAAGTAGATGGTGGAGGAAAGATAACGACAAACTGAAGCCTGCAAATGCATTAAGCATAATTTTACATCACAAGCTTTCCAGGTCTGGGCCCTGCCAGCATCAGTCATCAGTTTCCAAAGAACTGGAATATATTTCATTGTAAAGTGATACAATTTAAACAGAGATGAGTCAGGATATTAGGCAGTTACATTAGTAAGTATCAGTTCATGTGAAAGGGTAAATTCAGCATAGGGAAGCCCATCAGATTAGCATTAGTATGATGCATATCCAAAAGGCCATTCTTCAAGATAAATTCCTGATATCAGCACATTTTCATAAAACCACAGAGCAGAACAAGCTCTCTAACTAATCCCAATTACTTGTGTTTCCCATCTCTTTAGCTAACTATAACATTATCATTTGACGAGCATCTTTAACTACATTCTTTTTTGTCCATGGTTATATCCTGCCTTGTTCCATCCTTACTCTAATTAGGTAACTTTCTGAACATTAACCAGTCTTAACAATATCACCAAGTCCTAGTCTTTCTTTTCATTCCTGTCCATTGACCATGGATACTTCAGTTAAACAACTCCAAGGTCAACTCAACCCTTACTACGCATGAATAAAGACGTGGTATTGTACTCTTCAAACTGGAGGATACTAAAATTTTTTTTGAACATTGATAGTTTATGAGTTACAATTTAATGTTGGCATAAGCTTCATTAATCTCCTGATTTTCATTTTCGGTAATAATCTAGTGACACGATATTTGAAAGAATAATGCAAATTCCTTTCTCCTGGGGCACCCAGCCTTACCTAGCAGGGTCAAGAAGTCATCAAAGTGATATACATGCTGTGGATCAGTAGCAATTAGATTCATTTCTTTAAGGAACATGTCAAAGTTGGGGTCACTTTTCTTCACCACCCCAATCACAAATATCTCCACACCAGTGTCTTTGGCTTCTTTCACCACTTCTGTCAGATTCTTTTTATCTCGGGAGTCTGTCTGTCCATCCGTGATGACCAAGGCCACCTTCTTGATGCCTGGCCTGGCACTCTTGAACATGTCATTGGCAGCCTGCAGGGCAGTGGCTGTATAGGTACCTTCCCCCAGATACTGCATGTTGTCTACAGCCAACTTGAAATCATCCTTGCTGGAGAACTGCCTCAAATCAGCCACTATTTCCACCTTATGACTATAGTTGATTATGCCTATGCGGGCTGTGGCCAGGTCCACAGAAATGCGGTCAGCCAGAGACTTCACAAAATTTTGGATGATCTGGAAGTTGTTTAGCCCCACACTTTCTGAACTGTCAATCACAAACACCAACTCCAGGGGAGTCTCTTTGCATTTGCGCCCACAACCTAAAAGACAAATGTTGAGACCAAAAAAAAAAAAAAAAACTTCAGGAATTAAACCAAACCATCACTGATTAGCAGCACCACATTAGGAGAAGAGGGGAAAGAATTAACTTAGGACCTGAACTATTATTTTCCTTTCCTATGACTGGGAATAGCTGACATCTGTCTCCCTCCAGGCTTCTATACTTGACTCAGATTCCATAACAAATAATAAACACCTATGTGTTCATTTCTTAAATTAAAATATATTTTTTTAAAAGCTAGCATGCCCAGTGTGTGCCTTCCCAATTTTATTACTCTTCCTCTAAGAGGTAACTACTGTCCAAAATCTGTTCTTCATCATTTCAACATCTGTTCTTAATCTACATCTGAAAGCTTCAACCCTTACATGAAACTGGAGATTTGCTCTCTGGCATGGAGGAAGTATTGGGATGAGAATTTTTAATTGTGTGTGGGGGGAAGGATTGAGGTCTTAAACTGTACATAAGAGTAGCTGCCCATAACTACTCTATGTATGTCTAATCACCCACAATGAGGACTGTAGTGGCTTCCACGTTATCAAAGAGACCGTTAGCCCATCTATGCTGTGAAACTGTTTGAGAGGAGGGATTCCAGAGAGCACTGGTCAATAAACAGCATTTGTTTAAGTCAATAAACAATCATTCAAAGCAATTCTAAGAGTTCCCAGAGGATAAAAATTATCAGAGTTTTCTTTCTTTTACATATTTATATCTCCTGTTGCTCACCAACCAACCATAGAAAGTCATCAGGAAACTGGTGTTATTTTCACAGGGCTTTTAGTACCCAGAACCCATGTCCATATTGGTCTGTCATCATAGAGTTTCAGGCTGGCTCTTAGGTCCAGATGCTTTTTAGGGGACAAGCCAGTTCTGGGATTCCCTGTATGGAAAGACAGTGATGTCCCTGCCTTCGACCACTTTAAGCACAAGAGTCTCTCTCATCTTTATTTCATTATTATTATTATTATTATTATTATTATTATTATTATTATTATTTGCCTTTGGCTGATCTCTTTCCTTCAGTTCCCCTTTCTGACACCTATTCTAAGTCTAAAGTGGTCCATCATAGATTCATTTAGATACCACTGTGAAGCAAAACGAACGACTGAATGTCCTTCTGCCTTTGAGATCAAAGATAGCCCTAGAAATCATGTTCAAAACTCAACTCAGACTTCTTGGCTTCAGGAAAAACACAGACATTAAACCACCAGCTAGACTGGACTTGTGTACCAGTTGGTTTTTGTAGTCATATTTCCTGTTTGTTTGTTTTTCCGTTCCCTAGTTCAGGTAAATGAATGTGCAGCCCAAGTTCACAGCTTCAACATAACACCACTGAGCTTACAAAAGACCAGGCTACCCACACACACTAAGTCAGGAACCTCAGGCTCCCTAACCACAGCAAAGACAACTTCCTTTGCTCAGTCAGGGTTCCCACAGCCTCGCTCACTGCTTCCTCTCAGTTTCTCTCTGACTTTGCACACCCCTCACTAGCCATATAATACACTTCCTCTGAGGGAACTCCTTACCACACCAACACAGACCATAGCGAGGATGGTACCTTAAATGGGTGGACTTTTTTCTTTGATAGTTAAATCTTACCACATATTTTAATAATGAGCTCAATAATATCTTCTCTCTGGGGAGAAAAAGGAAAATGTGTTAGCATTAAATGTATGACTATAGCATTTTTTTTCCCAGAGTCTTAAAAGTTGTCTTACTATAATCAGCAGTGAGCCATTTGATGTAATCCTTCCACTGCAGGAAATGAAATAGCACAGAGGTTTAAAAGTTGGGTATAATAGATCATAACTGAAATGAGGTTGAGTTGTGAAACTGAATCGCTCAGAGTTCTGGAGTTCAATTGCAATTTCAGCATTTATCAGCTTGTAACCTTGGCTATTAGGTGACCTAACAGTGTCTGCATCGCAGGGCTGTGGTGCAGATGGAATGAGGTAAATGCACATACAGCTCTTAGCCCGAGGTCTGTCCCCACTAAGCACTACCTACACAATAGCGAGGTGCAGACGTGCACGTTCAGTAATGTGACTAAAACCACTTAGTTGCTTAGTATGCTGAGAAACCAAGGCATGCTTCAGGGTCTAAAAGAATTCATTCTAGGATGAAGTCCTTTCTGTTTTTTTTCTGCACCAATCCTCAGTTTTGAAAGTCCCCACCTCAGTTTTCTACTACCCTCACTTTGGCTTTTCTAGGAAACATCCCTGTGTTTCTGAATGCCCCTTCCTTCATCCTGCAGTACATCAGCTCCACAGAAGGGCCTGAGATCACATGGGTACCAGAAGTCAATTTGTGATGCCCTGCCCAGTGTGGCATATTTAAAGTGACTGAGATAAGACTACAGAAGACAGGAGACCACATTTGCCAAAGACATGAAGCTGAAAAGGAGGATTTACAGAAGCTTGGATTTCAATAGGAAGGAGCCAGTGGACCTAATCTAAGAAGATAAAATTTAACAGATTCAGGAGCAAAATTTTAAGGAATAAATCTATAATGACAGAATTGGGATACAGGTGACATATCTGGTAACATGTATATGGGAACTATTCAGTCATTTAAATCTAAGTTTTTAAATTGTAAACTGAGCAAAAAACAATGATTCCAAGTAACTGTGTAAGAAGACCCTCTAATACCATGCTGAGTTACATTACAAAATTATATAAAATGAAGAGGTTAACCCTGTTTTCTCAGAACTTGCTATACTTTTCCATGTTCAGAGAGACATTTAATAAATTTATAATTAGAATATATATGGGAAGGAACATGTATGAATTTATATTAAGTATAACTAGAAAGGGGAACCATATATTTATATTTTCATGTTTAACTTTTTAATGCAGAGAAAATACTCTATATCAAATTTTATGATTATAGTTTTGCACTTGACCTTATAATTAATTTCTCATATTGTTAAATGTTCTAAAAAACTCCATCTCTAAAGTCAAATGTGTGATCACTTTTGGATGTATAGCTCTTTGATGAATGTTGCTAACTTATCCTTCACAAAAGTTACAGTAACTGACATCTCCAATAGCAATATATAAGGAACAAAAGGAGTTACACATTTTGAAGATGGGGAGTGAAAGCCTTCTGCAGCTAGAATAAAGCAGTCGGTGTTGAACTAAGATGCTGGCTGACCTAGTGGGTAAATGGTAGAGTTATATAAGAAAAGCTATTTTATTTTAGACATACAATCCTAGTTGTTATTATTTCTAATCACTGCAATTTGGTAGACCAAAACGTTTTATTGTTTTAAATTGATTTATTGGATTGCTAGTGAAGTCAAATTTTATTTCATATGCATGTTTCCAAGTTATATTCTTGAACACACAGTCTGTATTTTGTCCCTTTTCTTTAATTTTAAAGTTGGTCCTTTGTTGGCCTATAAGGGCACTGTGTTTTAATTCTTTTCAACATGTTTTTATGGCATGTATAATTGGCTGTATACATATCAACTTTTCCCTTTTCTATTAAGTGACTGGAACAGTTTATTCTTTCACTAAAGTCACTGAATAACTACTTTGGCTATTTGGTGCCAATAACAAAGGCATCAAATTTATTCTATAAAAGAGGTCACAGTCTAGTAGGCAGTAAACAAAAAGGCAAAGACTTCTATAAGTGCTCAGAGAGCCAGAGAACCACGAGGTCTACTTGGGTTGGGGCAGTGGTCCAGAGAGGCAGGCTCTGACTGATTTGGGGTGGATGGAGACAGAAGGCACATTCCAGGCAGAGGGAAGGGCACTCACACAAAGAACACTGCATTATGGTACTTGAGTAAGCTGGTGACTCCAGGTGTGTGGTAGGAAGAACAGAAATGTAGCAGTCAGGGAGCCTGGGTGTTATGTTGAAGGTGTGAACTTGAGCTGCACATTGAGTACAGGTGATCCCTAAGAGCAGAGGAGCTCTGGTCTCACTCCTGTTTAAGAAAGAAGATCACAGCAACTGGTGGAGGGGTTTGAAGTTCCTAACTAGTTCAGGCAAAGAAAATGATACCAGAAGGCAGTGGTAATAGTGATGGGTGGGGAAGACATGCCTGGAAGAACATTCCAGATGGAGCATGAAGGGAACTGGAGAGTAACTGAAAGAAGGGATGAGGGGAAGACGGTGTCAAAGAGAAGGCAAACATGGTGGAGCCTTGCTCTGAGGTAGGGAGGAGTGGAAGAGGGGCATGTTTGGGATTGTGAAAAGGATTGGTCCTGACTAATTATTTGGTGGACCTCCAGGACATCCAACTAGAGAAGTCCAGTAGCAGAAGGATGTAAGTTCTGGTGCAGTCCCCGCTGGAGACAGATTGAAGAAATAATGTTGTTCATTTAGTTGTTCAAACAGGGACCACAGTTAGATCGCCTGGAAGAGGGACTCTCAGCCATGCTTTTACCAATGTGACCAACCACCCCCATTTGACAAACATGTTCTACGTTATAATTTTTTAAAACAATAATTTTTAATTTATCCTATGATTTTACTGTGCTGTTCAATTAGCCTTTTCAAACTGTACATCCCCCTGCCTTTCGTGGCTGTCCCTCTATAAGAGATTGAAGATGGAGAAGAGAAGACTGAAGGGTTGTCACTGGGAAATGCCAATATTGAAGGGACAGGTGGAGTAACAGAATCTTTTTACATAATTTGCTGAGAATTATCTAAAATATTTCACTCCATCAATAGTACTTTCCTCTTAAAAGCGTTTGTTAGTCTGGAAGGAATCTGTAATTGATAGCTTTTCGGGGGGATACATTTGTTCAGGAAGAGAATGAGGGTAGGGAAATGAGAGAGGCCTTCCAAGGGGAGCTTTCATGGGGGAGCAGCCTGGATTTGGCAGGGGACAGGCCAACTCTAGTTAAAAAGCCCTGCTTACTTGCTCACTAGGTGACTTTGGGTATATTGCTCAACCTTTCTGTCTGACTTAGTATGTCTTCATCAGAAGTACAGACAATACTACCTTCCACATGGAGCTGTCATGCACATTAAATATGGAGTGCCAATCAGCCTGCCTTTTTTTTTTTAATATCCTTATCCTCACCAACCCTACACTGCAATAGGCCTTGGCCAGCATTCATGCAGTGAATCCAGTCCTTACTCCCAAACTTAACCCAGATTCTCTGAAAATACATGACCCTTTGCCACCTTTTAGGTGGGCCAAGGCATGTAGGCCAATGTTGTTGACTTTCCAAACTATGAGTCCTTTGGGGTGGGGTGGGTGGAGGAGGAACATTGCAGGCAGAAGGAGTGGCAGTCACGCAAATCACATTGCATTATGGTACTTCAGTAAATTTGTGACACAGGGTGTGTGGTAGGAAGAATAGGGTCAGGTGTATTTAGACTATGGCAAATGGTGGAGGTGGTGGTTATGCATAGAGTGGCCATGCCCTTTGGCCCCAAGGAATGCTCCGAAGAAGGAGTATAGCCCTCCAAAGCTTGAGCACCTAGGTGGTTGAGAAAAGCTGATACTGATGTTAAGGAGCCTAGCTCAGTGCCTGTCACCTGTTAGATTTTAACAATGTACATTCTCTTTCCCTTCACTCTTCCCATCCTGCTAGCCTCTTGTTCTAAAATCTTGAAAACCAATGTCAATAAAATGATGTCTCCATTACTAAGATCATTGCTTTATGGTTTAAAACCCTGCACTCAACAGATAAAGTTTGGAGCCTTTATCTATGGCTCCAAACATTTTGAGGCCGGAGGGCAAAAAAATAATCAATGTAAATAATAAATAATTGGGTCTGATGGGGAAGGTGGGGGCTGGTCAGTAAGAAAATCAAATGCTGCCCTTTCCCCATCCTCCTTTCAAAGCCCTTCCTCCTGCTCCTGCTCCAAACTGTTGCTAAGGTGACTTGCCCCAAGAATTGTTCCTCCCAGCAGGTAGTTTTGAGTTGTTAATTGATACTGCCTGGGCTGATTTTTTGGCCATCCCATGGGCATCTCCTGGCCTCCAGTTACTTAGGCAAGATGGCAAAATGAAGGAGCAAGATAAGGGGGAAGAGGGCAGGAGAACAAGGAAATCTAAGATGTATAAAAGGGACAGGACACTCCCACTTCTTTGGATACCAGCTATGGCCCCCTTCTTCCTGGGAGAAGTCTGTTTTATTCTTTAAACTTGCTTTCTACGCTTACCTCGGCATTTCTCTGGTGCTTAATCTTCACCTCTGGGAAACAGAACTCATCGTCACCGGTAACCAGTGGTATCAATATCACACATCACTGTGCGCTCTGGACTCCCCTAACTATTTCTGTCATAGCATTCATCACACTGTGGATAAACAGCCTTATGTCTTTGTTCCCACGGGGCTGTCAGCTCTTTGAGGACGGGGAGACAGACTCTTATTCTCTACTATTTCCCTAGTACCTCTCTATCTCAGAGCCTGACTCACTACACTCCCTTAAAATACCGGTGAAAGAAATAAATAAATGAGCAAATAAATGGATGAAGATTACATGGATGAAGTCCAATTCCTCATGCTGGGATAATATGGTGAAGTCCCACTGGTCATTTATGTACACTTTCCCCTGCTGCTTGTTTTGTGGGGAGGAAATTATTGTATATATAGCTGCTTCATCCACTGTAGGCATTTTTGGGGTCATAGGAAAAGAGGTTCCATGTGTGCCTCTCTGCTCTTGTTGTCAGCACCTGAACTCCCACACCCTCACACTTGGATTTTCCTGGCACAGAACATCAGCATCTCCAGACCATAACCTAGAGAAAAATCAATAAGAAGAAAAGGTCCCTTTTCCTCTTATACTCGAGGAGATGTAGTATCTTCAGATAAGATAAGAATGAATCAGAAAGGAAGAATTAGGATTAGCTACAGAAACTCTAGAACCTTCCCATCCATGTGTGTCTAAAGAGTCAGTTTTTTTTTTCTCTGTTTTTAATGGTGTGTGGAAACGAGCAGGAAAATGTGGCTGCTTAACAAATATTTGTTGAAAGGTAAATCAATACATAAGCATAATACTGATTTTGTGTTGCTGTTTTCTTTGGAACACTTCTTAAAGAAACTAGTTCAGGAAAAAGAGCCCCCATTCTGAAATGAGAAGGATCAGATAAAATAAGAAATCATTTGGACATTCAGTTTCTTGTAAACAGCTCACTTCCTTGTTGCCAATAATAGCAGTGTGATCATTTCAACCAGGGCGTGTGAGGGGACTGGTCACACCTCCACCACAAGTTAGCCAAGGCTGCCTGGTGTAATTTCTCCTCCACGGTTGAATGCAATTACCTCATGCATCTAATTCAACACTGGGATGGTAGCAGTAACCATCATTTAAATACCAACTAGAATCCTGCATCCAAAGAATTTATAATTCTAAAGCTAAAACATGAATGCAATACTTTTGCAAGCACAAAACCCTCAATTACCCACTAGAGCAGATACTCACTGTAAGTCCTGCATCTCCTTTTGGTCCTTGTAATCCCTACATAGTGCAAGAAGAGTTAACAGTCAATATAGTTGGAACCCAGACATGAGTATAAAGTCACAACTTTTTAAATCGCATCTTGCCTGTTTTCCTGGAGATCCTGGGTCTCCAAGTTCACCCTTTTCACCTTTCTTTCCCACATCACCCTGTTCTCCATGCTCACCCTTTAAAAATATGATAAAAAGAGAAGTTTAAAATATAAGCATTAAAGTCAAATAGCAAAAACTCTGCAACTTGGTTTATTTGCAACTGGTATCTCTTCAAGACCTGGAGCTCTTGTTGATACAAATATATAATATGAAAAAAAAATTGAGAGCAATTTGTTTACACTCCCTCAACCGTAGTTATCCAATTTAAAATGAACCAGAGATATGGAGGGACCATGTGATCAACTCCACAACTTCAGGGAAGGCTATTGCATAATTGTCCAGATTCCTGAGTTATCTATTATCTCCTGTATGTGTGTTGTAAGGATTTATCCCTTCATTGGCTGGCTTTTAAGCAAGAAGGCAAGATTTTGTAAAATGAGCACATTTATAAGTAGAAAGGGCTATGCACAAGGTTTCAATTCCACATGGACATCTGAGAGTGTCAGGAAGAAGTGTGATGCATATGTGAGAGTTCATTTAAAGTCAAAGTTAAGCTATTGAGAGCTCAAGCCACAGCATGTCTCTAATATCCTGAAATACTTACCTTCTGACCTGGGAGGCCTTGGCCCCTGGTGCCCTTTGGCCCTGGAAAACCTTGAGGTCCTTGTTCTCCCTATACAGGATGTAAGAAAGAATGTTTCTATTAATTGTCCAGGATGACTCAGAATATTTGGACTTTGTTGACTTTCTCTGCTGTATAGTATCCCATTAAATAACAGGACTATAATTTATCCATTATCCTATGGATGAACATGAATTTCTAATATTTCTATATTAAAAATAGTGCTTCAATGAATATTTTTACATATCTTTGCACAATTGTACACTTCCCTAGGAGGAAACCTTTACATCAAAACAAATATACAGAATAGTACAAAATAAAATGAACACCAAGTAAGTACTTTCTGAAGTTGAACTGAAATACTCAGTGCTGAGGGCCATTGCCAAGTAGGAATGACGCATCGAAATTTCCTTGCCAGCATAACCCATGTTAAATGGACTTGCCTTGGACATTGCATGTGTCTTTGAGAAAGGTGACCCTGCTCAAGGACCAGGGTGGATCCAGGATTAGGGTGTATCCTGCAGGTTTTAGGAAGTATCCGGGTTTAAGACAATTTGGGTTTAGGGTATTCCCGGTTTAAGACAATAGGGGTTTTAGGGAAATTGGAGGTTGAAGATTATTGGTGCTGGGATTAGGGTATTCCTGCTGCTTGTTCCCCTTGAGTTCTTGGGAGATTCAAATGGGATTTGGAAAAAAAGCCTCATGGAGTAGGTGAATTGGGCGGGCAGATTTTGGATTTCCCCAGAATGTGTTTGTAGAGGCCGGTGTGAGTTCCGGAATAAAGAATTGATGTTTGAATCTACAAAGCTGTGAGTGGCTCGTGATTCAGTGCCAAGCCGAGACATTGGCAACTCAGTTCTTCATGAGCCCAGCCCTAACATCTAACAGCAGATTTTCACAACTAGACTCTAAGGTTTTTTTTAATCCTCTGACATGTTGTGTTTCTAAATGGATTACAAATGTGGTGTTATACCTTTGCCTCCTCAATTCAACACAAGAGGACTTAAAACAAGTTTCCTACCATGGTCAGACCACTCAGAACTTACTCCCTGAATGGCATTGTACCTGGGTATCCCTTGAGCCAAGCCCAGTGCTATAAGATAGTGAACTCACCAGGAAAGTTTATGCAGTATTGTACAAATCCTGGGCTCAGCTAAGGAGACTCATGCTTGAAGAAGGAGTGCTTTCTTTATTAAATGCTTAGTTGGTTGAAGTGGACAGGTAAAGATTATTGGTCTCTATTCAATTTAGAGTCAAGAGAGAAACCTCTTTTCTCACCAGGGAATCTGGAGGTTTTAAGAGGCCCTGAACCTGGATAGGGACTGATATCAGTTACATATTCCCTAAATATTAAACCAACATTTGGATGTAAAGCTGAAGATTCAAGGAAAAGGAGAAAAATCTGTTCTCTTTTTCAGAGAAGGCACTCGTCCCACAGGTAGGTATCAGGAAGACAAACAGGCAAGAATGTACAGGGAACAGATCAGCCTCACTACACACACTGAAAGCCATGCTCCAGCAGGAATGAATCTGCAGCCTCATCTAGAGTGAAGCCAGATTTAAAGTTAGGTAGTCAGTGTAGTTAGGTAAATCGGGTCTAATATCGAGTGAAATCTAAAATGGAGGCCATGCTGGGAATGACTCAGGGAAAACTCAGGACAACTCATGGAATGTTAGTGAAGTCTCTAAAAGGCCCTAGGCCAAAGTCCACCTCAAAGAAGTGTTAATGAACAGCCCCCAACAGATTTGGAGATAGCCCATCCCAGAGAAGTGATAAGCCCATCCCAAAAGTCCTTCCTGCCCTTTTGGCCCACTGGTGTCCCACCCCTCGGGCCCTCCAACCTACATCCCATCACCAAACCTATAAAAGGGGAACACATTTGCCCGCTAACTGGATTCCACCTCCTGGGTCCCTTTCTTCCTCCGGGAGAAGTCTTTTCTGCTGTCCTTTAATAAATTTCTAATCTCTACTCTGACCTTGCCTCGGCGTGCTTCTTTGGTGTTATTCTTCAACATTGGGGAAGCAAGGACTCGTCACCGGTCAACAGAGGTAACAGGAGGAGGAGGCAGAAGGTCTGTCTCCATACAGACCAGAAGGCCAGAGCTTAAAGTGGCCTGAAGCACCCTGAGGAGTTGCATGCCTAGAATTCTACTGTGCTCTGCTCTAAGTAAATGGAAAGGAGAAAAAAAAATATGAGAAGGAAGTATTCTCTTAAGGAAGATGTTTCAGTAAAAAACACTTTGGTGGAGGTTTGTTTTCTCAGATTTTTATGAGATGAATGAGCTATTTGTGGAAGGTAGCTTGGGCTTGTCAGGGAGTCTCAGATACCGGGATCAGAACCAGGAGAATTGAGTTCAGAGATCCAGGAGGGTTTCTGGCCAGGTATGAGGGAATTTAAAGTTCACAGGAGAACACTAAAAAGAAACGATTGGTTGGCTCTGTCCCAACCCCAAAGGACAGCCAGAGTGCAAATCACTGTGGGGCCCAGCTGCAGTGGTGACTTATCACTGGGACATCTATATTTAGACAAAGGGAGTCCACCTTTCAACAATTATTCAGAATAATTATTCTCTGACAACATCTCAGATCTCCACAACAGCTAACACAAAAGACGTCCAATAAAAGACGGTGACTGACTAACTGCTTTTGAGAAATGACACAATTTCCTAACAAAGTTAAAAGCGATTGTGGCTTCCTCACCACACCCTGAGGGGTAAACCTCAGAGAGCCAGTTATCATGTTTGGATCCTTCTATGTTCAGGAATTTATTTTGGGATACTTCACATATAAACATTTTCTATATAATTGCTAGCGCTGTAGTCATTCCAGGCACCTGGATTTCCTTATAGTGAAGGGATTTTTCCTCACTTTAAATTACCAGTTTCCCTTCAAAATACTTGAAGGCTTCCTATAACTTTCAGAGTAGATTACCGGGCTAAAAGCCTCTTACCACGTAAGTCCATATCTTAGCTTGGCAGAGGTGAACACTATAGAGTCAGATTTTTTTTTTCCCTTTATAAGTCTCAGGGAAAAGATAAACAATGTTTTTTAGCGTGGGTCAAAGCAACTGCAGGAAATCACCTTTCAGAAGGTATGATTAAGTGCAAACTTTAAACCTAGCTGCTTAATCACTGTACCACTTTGTTGACTCTTAAATCTGTCCTGTTAACAATGTGATAGTTTTGTTTTCAGATGATTGCTTAATCTCCAGGAAAGAAGTTTCTAAGTGTAATGCACAACTACCTGAATGCTTCAATGATTTTTTTTTAATTACTGATATCAGGAAACAATAGTGTTTTTTTTCTAAATGTTCTATAAGATGCAGTAATTAAAAAAAATAAAATTCATAGATAATCAAAGAATGTAAAGGGGATGTCTGGCTTCTGCACAGAATATAGATAAGTAAAAAGTCAATCCTTCCCTTGTTCTCACAATGACTTACAACCTGTGGAGTCACAGCTTTTTTTTTGAATCTGTCATAGAGCTGTGGTTTCAGGGAAACCTGCCAACTCCACATGTAAGGAAGCAGGAATCGTCCACAGAGAGGCAGAACCTGACCACTCAATACCTGGGGGAGAGCCCAGGATTGGTAAGGAGGATTTGACTAAAATTGTTAATAAATTGCTAAAGGCCAATACAGGCTACCAGGAGAGGAGGAGAGCTGGAGGCACAAGGGGAAATGGCACCCATCACAGGCTCTTCTTCTCTGGGGACCTTACCAGCGCTCATAAGAAACCTGGGGGCAAGTAAGAGTCTGAAGAAGCTCTCCTCTGATGCAGGCAGAGGGAAGTAGGAATCTCCAGTGTCTTGGCCTGTCTGTGCTGCTATAACAATACACCATGGAAATAGGTTGCTTATAAACAACAGCAATCTATTTCTTATAGTTCTGGGGCTGGGAAACCCCAGATCAAGGCGTTAAAGGATTCATTGTCTTGTGAGGGCCGGTTTCCTGGTTCACAGATGGTGCTTTTTGCAGTGTCCTCACATGGTGGAAGGGGCAAGGCAAACCTCTTAATTACCTCCCCGAGGCCCCCTTAGTGCCTGACAGCATTTCAACATGGATTTTATGTTCAGACTATACCACCCAGGGCAGGGTACAACACTCCCTGTGAGACAAAAGTCCTAAAACTCCAGGGAAAGGCAGCAAACATTGTTATCTTGAGGGCACAGCGGATGACCCATGCCCACTGGGGGCCGGAAACAGAGTCAATCTGTGGGAATGAATCCTGGCACCGACCTGTAGAGCAGCTCCACTGCTTGGCGAGGGTCATAAAGTCAGGCTCAGCCAAGACCATTAGAGGCCTCTACAGATTGGCTGGAACTCATAGAACCACACACTTAAAAGAGGGTGAAAGTTACTTTAAATAAATCATTTTTTACTAAATAATAATTTTTCAAGGAAAAAAGAATCAATGAAATACTTGGGAAAATGTAAATAATGCCTCTAGATTTGATAGTATTATATCAATAATAATTGCTATTTATGACCCCACTGTGTGATGTAAGAGAATGTGTTTGTAGCAAAAGGACTGCAGTTTGGGTAAAAAAGACACTGTAGCTGGAACTTACTCTCAAAAGTTACAGAAAAAGAACATGAATGTGGGTACATACACATACTTTGATAAAGCAAATGTGGTGATGTTAACTTTTATGGAATCTGGTAAAGGGGATATGGGAATTCTTTGTACTATATAACTTTTCTGTAAGTGTGAATTACTTCAAATAACATTTATGATTAAAATAGCATATAAAATGAATGAGTATAAAGGTAAATGAATGCATTAAATGACTGCACACAGGCATTGGCTATCATCGCGGCAGCAGCTAAAAAATATAAGTGTATACAAGTGTTTTGTCTACCCAAAGTTTTGGGTACCCACAGGCCAAAAGAATACCAGGAGACCTAAAACAAAGCCCTGGTGTGGATTTCCTGAGGTGACTCCAGCTCTTTACATACAGGAGGCTTCTATCATCATCAAGAACCTTTGTATTTCCCCAGGATTGAACTGAAGCTGGACTTCAGTTCAACCACTTGAACCAGAGACGGCAT